GAGAGAGAGAGAGAGAGAGAGAGAGAGAGAGAGAGAGAGAGAGAGAGAGAGGTGTAATAAAGGAAGAAGTACGCACTAGAATAGCTGGAACCCCGGGGAAGGTGATTGGAAAGGACCCGTGTGCCCTGGGGAAGTCAACCTGCCCTTCTAAGCCACCAGCTGTTTTCAAGGCTGGGATGCAACAATCATCAGAGAGGAGGGTGTTCCCATCAGAGCACTCAGAAGTTCAGCAAACAAAGGTCAGCGGAGCTCTTGTGGCTTGTTTTAACCAGGAAATGGAAAGAAGTATTCACTCTCTAGGATTCGGGGCTCAGAGATAAGAGAGACAGTATAAAGTTTTCTTTAAACCGGATTAAATGAGTTAATATTTGTACAGTGCGAGCACATACAGAGCCCAAGTTTCTATGTAATTGTTTGTTAAATAAAAATAACAATAAAGTATTTCTGGTTCATGAGCTGTTACAATATGAGCAGAGAGGCCTTGTTCCTTCCTGGTTCATGGGACATCAGGCCTGTTTTCATGGCTCTGCCAGAATGTTGCTGTCTTGAGTCCGTGTCACCAGGCTGTAAATGACAGCTCCAGACTATGCAAAGTCAAGAGTAGGGTTATCCGGAGGGCAGGGTATCCAGCAGTTTGGCAACATTCGGGTTGTTTGTCTTGTAAGATAAATAATCCACAGGATCTCAGTTGACCTTTGGGGTTTTTTTTTCTTCGGCACTTTTGTGTGCTCTGGGTGGGAACACACTCTGCTCTGATGATTGTAGAATCCAGCCTTCAAATCAGCTGGTGGCTCAGAAGAGAGCCTTGACTTCCCCAAAGCACAGGGGTCCTTTTCAAGTCACCTCTCCCTTTCTGCCTGTGAAGTAGAATATTTAAACTTAATTACAGAGAGAAAAACAAACCCAGTAGGAATGGATTGAGTAGAGAGCACACGGAAATGGTTAGACCAAATGGAAATTGTCAGCCAGAGGCCCGAACTCACGAACTAGGGAAGGCCTGAGACTGCAGAGACCCCCTTTGATAATGTGGAGGTTCAAACCTTAGGTTTCCTTCAAGGCTTACCACCACCACACAGTTCCTGCCAGAACAGGGACAGGGACGGGAAGTCTAGGGGAAGGATCAATCTGGAGCCCCTATTCTCTTCTCCAGGGTCACCGGAGCAACAGCCTGGACAGGAGGTCCCAGGGAGGCCCTCATCCAAGTGGAAATGTAGGAGAAGAAATCCGACCTTTGATGAACCGGAAGCTGTCAGACAACCCTCCTTCCCGTCCCCAGCATCAGCAGGCACCTCCTCCGTTCCCACCGGGGTCACAGCCTCCTCCACAGCAGCGGTATCTGCAGCACCACCATTTCCACCAGGTATCTGAAGAGGAGAGAAAGGCAGGGCAGGGAGTGAAGGCAGACCTGCCCACCCCATGGCCCAGGCCAGACCAGCCTCCTGAAAGATTCTGGGCCCCATGATGGAAACCGCCCACAAACCATCAGGGAGTGTGTGTGTGCGCGCGCGCGCGCGCGCGCACACACACACACACACACACACACACACACACACACACACAATTCTGTCAGCAGAATTCCAATTCCTTCTCCGTAACCCATGAAAAGCAAGCTGGATTAAAATGTGCGGAGCCTTGTTTATCTACCTTTGCCTGTTCCAGATGGGATGGCAGCTGGCTTATGGAGATGGACAATGCAGGGTTCTGTGTGAGCTACCTGTATCTTCTTCCCCAGGTCCATATTCTGCTATCAGCACCCCCTACCATGCAAACAGCAACTAGCACCACATTTTGTCATTGGCATGGTCCGGTGCATTTTCTCTGTTTTTGACTTTGTATAAGCTGTTCTGTCTGCCTGATGGATCCTTCCTGGTCAGTCTCACTCCTCCTTCAAGCTGGAGCCCAGGCATCACCTCTTCCCGGACTCCTTCCCTAACCTACCCAGGCATGCCTGGATACTCTCCCGTCTGTTCACTTAGCACATTACTGTATATGGTTCTTCCTCTAAACTAGTAAATGTTCCTGATTTTTGTTTTTAACTAAGAAAGGAACCATACAAGCTATCTTTGGTGGTGCCTGCCTATAACCCCAACATTTAGGAGGCTAAGACAGGTGGATTAAGAGCCCAGCTCTAGCCTGGGCTACATAGTGAATCCAAAGTTAGCTTGAGCTACAAAGCAAGACCCTGTCTCAAAATCAAAGAAGGGGGTGGGAGTAAAGTGTTTGCTAGGCAAACAAGAGGGCCTGAAGTCAGATTCCCATCACCCACATAAATGCCAGCATAGGGGAACACATCTTTTGTTTGCTTGTTTGTTTTTCAAGACAGAGTTTCTCTGTGTAGCTCTGGAGCCTGTCCTGAAACTCACTTTGTAACCCAGGCTGGCCTCAAACTCACAAAGATCCGCCTGCCTCTGCCTCCGCCTCCCAGGGGCTGGAATTAAAGGTGTGTACCTCACCACCCGGCAGGGAAACACATCTTTAACCTCACTGCTGAAGTGAGCTGTTAGAAACAGCAGATCCCAGCAGCTCATTGGCCTGCCAGTCTAGCTGAATCAGTGAGTCCCAGGTCCAGTAACATCCCTTCAGATGGATGGAGAGTGACAGAGGAAGATGCCCAGTGTCAACGTCGGGCCTCTATCCTCACACACACACACATATGTACACACAAATGGTGATGGTGACAATTGATTACATTCCTGAAGCATGGGCGCACAACTCCCCAAATACCTGCTATTTGATTGGATAAATAAAGTCCATCATTCTTGCCTTTAAAATCTAAGATCCCTTCAGATTCCTTCCTGTCCATTTTCCAAGATGAAGGGTGATGGTCAGTGAGTTAGTTCTTGGGTGTGAGTTCTGTAGAGAGCACCCAAGCAAGGCACAAGGGTGAGGCAGGCTGTGAGAGACGCCCCTGCTGGCAATGCAATAGCCCTCTGTTACCTGTGTCTAGGACCGCCGTGGAGGCAGCCTGGACATAAATGATGGACATTGTAGCATCGGCAGTGAGATGAATGCCACCCTGATGCACCGGAGACATACGGACCCCGTGCAACTCCAGGTGGCAGGGGTGAGTGAGCGGAGAGCACGCGCGAGGTGGCCTCTCGGGACAGGGTTCAGCCTGGCTCATTCAGGCTGCCGTTTTCAGTCTGACTGTTGAACTTTGTTCCTGTTCTTGCTCTTCTGGCCACGGGAGATGGGTGAGCTTTGTCCCTGTGACCCAGTGCACTTGGCCTCAGGACAGGCTCAGTATTAGGGCACTTGCCTGACATATGTGAGGGCCCAGCTTCCACCAAAGCAAAGCAAGACCATATCAAGAGCAAAGCTGGCGAGTGTCCCAGCGCCTTAGGGCCCAGGGCTGTGCATACCAACTCTGCTTTAGATTGCTTCAAGGTCAGCTTTTTGGGAAGGACCCAGGGGACTCAGGACAGAGCCATGGTTCCCCTGTGTGACAGTTGCTCCAGAGACCAGCCTACTGAGCTCATCAGCTTGTCTCTTGCTCCCCTCTAGCGAGTGCGCTGGGCCCGGGCACTGTATGACTTCGAGGCTCTGGAAGAAGATGAGCTGGGATTCCGAAGCGGGGAGGTGGTTGAAGTCCTGGATAGCTCCAACCCATCTTGGTGGACCGGCCGTCTCCACAACAAACTGGGTCTCTTCCCTGCCAACTATGTGGCTCCCATGATGCGATGAGTCCCACTGGGCGACTAGAGGCTTTTTGTCTGAAGCTGCCTGCAAGATACAGACAAGGGAAAAAAAAGTTGGGCTTTATAACTACACATGCATGCATATGATGTACACGTGTGCCCGTGTGTACACAAAACATGTATATGCATGCCTACGGCTACACACAACATTTTCTAGTAGTAATTTATTGGCAGCTGGGTTGGTTCATTGACCGGCATGAGAAGGAACTTGAGGGAAGAATGGGGTGCTTTTCCAGCTCTTCTCTGTGCGAGAGGGCAGCAGGGAGCTGAGAGCAGGGCAGGAAAATAGACTTCTCCCAACCCTTGAACTTTCACAGCTTCTTTCCTGGCTTGGGAACTTTCCAAGAGAGCAAGCAGCTAAACAGAGGTCACACCCCAGCAATGGACACACAGGACGGGGCTGGGCTTGGCGAGGCATGTTAGGTAGCTTACCTGGCCCCGTCCATCTACAGGGTAGCTTCCCCTCTGTTTTCCACAGGGCAGGCATTGCACCCTGAGAGCTAAAGTTTAGCAGATCCAGGGCCACAGGCACCAAGCAAGTCTGAGCAGGTAGCTGGCAAGGGCGTGGTCAGTCTTCTCAGCTTGGTGTGGGAGAGCCTTGCAAGCCTCAGGCCTAGTCAATGCCTGACAGAAACTTTTACTTTTCCACCAGTGACTGCCCACTGGGTGATCCCCTTCCCCTGTAGCTGATGAGAGAGAGTGTCTCTAACATGGAGACACCACAGAGACAAGTGCTAGGGAACACAGGGCTTCTCCACAGACCCTTGTGGCTTGCTTGAATGTAACTTCTGCTTTCCCGGCTGCAAAGAAAGCTGTAGCCTAGATTCTAGGAAGTGCAGGGAGAAGCCCTGGCTGAGAATGTGGGATGTGTCAGCAGGCTCATTTTGTGGTTACAAGGGTTGTGTCTGTGGAGTGCTCTTGTTTTTTTCCTCCTGATTTTCTGTGGTTGAGGGGTGTCTTTGCCAATGGACCAGAGGGAAGCCAAGACTGCAGATCAATAAACAGATTGATATATTGACTCTAACCCTGGACAGGAGCTTCATGAATATGAGTTTCCTCTTCCATCTGCATGTTCAGCCTCTGGGGGCCTCCCTTCAGCTAGAAGGAGGAACCCCACTGACACTGTCCTTCTTTGTCACCTCAAACTCGAATTGTGTGTCTTGGTGCCCACCCTGGAGAAGAAAGAGCAGAGAAGACAGGCTGAGGAGAGGGACACTGGAGAAGAAGAAGCTCGGTGCCGTTGTGGAGCCTGGAAGCAAACATGTCACAACAGAAGGCACTTACAAGGGTGTTGGTGTAGTCACGTGTGGATGTGTGTTCTGAGACAGGAAAAGAAGCGCTGGGGTGCAAGTGATGGCAGGGCATATGTGGCAAGGGGCCCTCTCCCCTGTGTCCCCTCCTGCTTTAGGGAGGGACTGGAGGGCATCTGCTACTGAAGCGATAAAAGAACAGTGTGACTCACAAGTCACTGCAGTGTGGCATACACTCGGTCCCTTGTGACTCTGATTCAACAATTCTCTGATCCCCGGGTTCCCTTTAGAGAAAGAGAGGAAGAAAGAGACTAAGAGGGAAGAGAAAATAGCCGGGAAGGGCAAGGAAACAGAGCATGCCTGAGGAGCAGCTGCAGCCTCGGGAAGGGGAGGCAGGGGAGGGGTCAGAAGATGGAGAGCAGATGAGAGGCAGAGGGGAGACAAGGGGTGGGGGGTGTCAAGTGGGACGCAGAGAAGGGCCAAGGAGGTCTTCCTCCTGCCTTCCGCATGAGAACGGAAGCCGAGGCCAAGTGGGCCCGATCAGCAAGCTTGGTAGTGGGAGATGTGAAACATTACAGTAAATAAAAGCCAAAAGTGATGTTTGGTTTTACAGTATTTGCAAACCATATGCTTTAAACAGCCCACAAACTTCATCCATTTGGCTGATTCCGTGGGAGGAGCAGCCCCGGCTGAGGCAGAGATGACTAGTTTGGTTCTGGTCTAGATGCTATGCCTTGAAGCACTGTACACTACTGTCTACTAGACAGTCATAGTCTTGCCGGTCCATATCTGGTGTCTGTGTGGCCGGCCCTAGGAGGAGTGGGTACTCCCTCCCTGGGGATGGCAGGGATGCTAGACCCAAAACACCTGGAATGGGCACCCTGTTGTAGCAGCCATTGTGAGGGATTTTTTTGAGGGGCATTGTTGTGCCCATTAGCAGGGCTCAATTCAGAAGGGAACAGGGGAGTCACCCAAAACACTAAGGGAGAACAGGGACTCATGGGGACTAGACCAGGAAGATTAAGACCAAACTGTTCACTCGGGGCTCAAATCTCTTTGGCCTCTGCTGCTGCTGCCTGGGAGGTGGGAGAAGGGCATGAGGCTCCCTATCTATCCTATCCCTTATCTACGTTCTACATGCCAGCTTCTTAGAGCCAAGGCAGTGTGTCTACCTGTGTTTCTCACCAGCAGCACAGCCAGCAGCCAACACACTGTCCCTGATTTTGGCCGCCACACCCTAGGTGACTTGGTGACATCTGAACAGAGAACTTCCAGAGAAAAGCCAGTTCCTGTCGAACCAGTTATGGTCTCCTCCCCCACTTACTGGAAATGACGTCATTTCTAATATCCAGAAGCTGCCGTGGCCCACTCACCTTCAGCTCGTCTCGGGGTGATTGAAGGAAACCCTTCTCGAAGAAGTCTTAAGAATCCGAGAGCGCTGTCTAGGGACCGTGTTAAAATGCGGGGTTGTGACTCAGCCCTCTGTCTCTAACAAGCTCCCAGGTGCTTTCATCCGCAGGGGCACCAGGCACACAGATCTAACTGGATTCTCTTTGTGGGGCTCTTCAGTCACGGCTCTTTGTTGCTAACAAATAAGTCACTTTGGCTTTGGGACAGGTGCGACTCGTTACTGTCATTATGACATCCTTTCTGTTTGATGGCCCGGTGACATATTTTTGCATCTTCATCAGGACTCAGAAAATGTCCAAGTGATAGGCACTTAGCTGAGACACGAACAGGAGTCCCCTAATAGAAACCACTTGAAACAAGAGCAGAAGTTGTGGAAGGTGAAGAAGATTTCTCAGAAAATCCTTGAAGAGAAAAATCAATGTCCATCACTTTGGGCTATGGGCAAGGCACGGTTGTCACTAGATCTCAGCTAACAGCCCACACAGGGGACAGACTGGCCTGGTCAAAATAATTGCAGGACTCTTTGTCTACTTGCATGTCTTTCTGTAAGACAGGAGTGTGATTAAAATCTACCCTGGCAATTTTTTTAAACAAATTTATTTTTGCTATTGTTTTTCAAGTCTTTCTGCTTCATCTCCCTCCATGGTACCCTTCTGTCTCCCATAGCAACTGCACCATCCTCTGTACTTGTGGCCCTGCATTCCCTCCTATCCCTGGTACACGCTCTATGCTGATACCAAGGCAATCTTTGGACAGACAAATCCAATCACACCACTTTTCTCTGCACTGGAGCCTGCAAGATCTGACCCTGCAGGATCTTCTCTCTAACCGCCTCTTGTTTTCATGCCCCTTCTCCACTGTCCTTCTTTCGGCTCCAACTGGCTAAGAACTATTCCCAGGGTTTTCATAATTGTGGGTACCCTGCAGAATGCACATTCTTTTCTTTTTTTGTGGATGACTGCTGTTCAGATATGGGTTTACATATCACTTCCTCTCAGACTCCCCCATCTGAAATAATATATCCCTCTAGATTACCTCATGAGTCCCATGCTTTTCCTGAACAGCGTGCACAGAGATGGGGACACTAGAGTGGGTGGTGTGGCTGTTAGGCTCCTCGGGACAGGGATCACTGTGTTTTGTGGCTCCTTGTATGCCTAGCATCTCACACTGTTCATGGAGTGTCAGAAATATGTGTCTAATGAATGATGTGTTCCTCCAAGCTTAAAACCTTCATCTTGGAGGGAAGCTCTTTCAGGTATAGGACGGGAAGAGAGAGGTGAAACATGAGTGTTCTCTCTTCCTAGAACACTCATTAAGATGGGAAGTAAACAACTCAAAATAGCTTCAGGAAGTTCCTGAAATTGACTAGATTAATGAGGCCCCTTTCTCCTCGATAGTATATAAGCAGTAAAGACTGCCAAGATTCTTAGAAGAAACTCAAACAGAGAAGCCTAGAAAAAGCAGAGACCTGCTGACCTGCTAGGAAGAGACTCAGACCAATCAAGCCACCAGTAATGATACTCCCCAACCTGGTGAGCTGCCTGCCAGTTGTTCAGTGAGCTCCAGGTTTCTGGTTTCTCATGAGCTGTCACCCATACTGGGGTGGGCTTTGGTGATACAGCTATCTTTGAGTCATTTGCTCCTGTAAGTTACCCCTACCCAAACCCTTGTAAGTAACCTCAGTAAACTCACTGATTTGCTGCATGGGACTTCATTGGCATCCGTACTTTGATCTGCCACTGGTTCCATGTCTGGGGTGAGTAGACATTTCTTCATGTCTTCCCAAGAATAGTTACACAGCAATGAACAAGTACCAGCTGCCCCATCTTGTCTATTCATTCATCCCAAATGCCTCAAGCATTCCAGACCTACGGGTGTAAGCTTGGGGATTTTCTCTGTGATGTTCATGTGACTGAAGCTTTTGCCTCTGCCCTCAGATACTCCGCTGGGTGTTTCTGGGAAACTCGTCTACTCATGCCCATTGTGCCCAACATCCTCCGCTCACTGTGTTTTGGATTGCTCTAAATCACGTGTGTCAACTGGTGAAATGGTCTGACTCTTCAGGCTATGGAATCTGCCCCGTGATCCATGTGGCGAGGAGAATGGGGAGGGAGTGGGCTGAAGTATGGCCAGTGCCCAGTGCTAAAAATACACCACAATTGGGCCCAGGATCCCTCACAGTCTCCCACGAACTCTGCTTGTACCTTCTCACCTGAGCCCTCTCTCCATCAGACAAAATGGGAATGACAGCCTTCCCCTCCCCCCACATTGTTCCTCTCTCTTTGGTGCATGTTTCTTCTTCTTTGAGTAAAGAGAACCACGCCACACTGCTTTATTTCTGCAGCAAATAACACATAGGGACCAATGCGTGGCACACAGTTCTACATTGGAGCTTGGCTACAATTAGGTCATTAAATCAGCAAGTGTTTGCATAGCAGCTCTTACGGGTCTGGTAAGATCAGTCACGAGGTTCCTCACTCCCATCTCCCCGCTTTGCCCAATCCATGCCCACACCACAGCTACTGTCTCGTTGGCACTTCTTTCCCAGTGACCGCACTGGCCTCTGCACGGCTCCCTTGCTTCCTATCCGACATAGGCTCCCTTTGATCTAGCCCCGAATGGCTGCCAGACAGATCTTATAAACATGTAAAGCAGATGACATTAGGCTCTTATTCAAATCCTTCAGGGGCTCCCAGAGCTCTCAGTTCCAAGTCCTTAGCATTCCATTCCAGGCATTGGTGATCTGCCTGCTGCGTGTTTGTTCAGTCACATCCCCAGCTTTCCTCTCCTGAGCCATCTCAGTCAGCACCTCTGTGGTCCCAGAGTGACTCATACTGTCTTCAACCTCCAGCTCTCCTACCTTCGGTTCCTTTTGCTTGAAATGCCTTTCTCCCAACATTATTGTTTTTTAGACTAGAGTGATGCCGGATTAGTTCTGCAGCTCTTTTGTTCAGTGTGGCGGTCATTCACCATGTGTAGCTATTAAATACTTGGTTATTACTTTTCTTTTTCAGAGACAGGGTTTCTCTGTGTAGGGCTGGCTGTCCTTGAACTCACTCTGTAGACCAAGCTGGCCTTGAACTCAGAGATCCATCTGCCTCTGCCTCCCAAGTGCTGGGATTAAAGGTGTGCGACACCACTACCCACTTACATTTTAAATTTTTTTTTATTTAATTGTCTGAAGAGGGTCTCATGTAGCCCTGGTAGGCACTGAATTGGATGTGTAGCAGAGGATGACCTTGAAATTCTGATCCTCCACCTCTCAGGTGCTGGGATTATATTCATGTGCCACCACACCCAGCTTGCAACTGGATACTTGAAATATGGCCAAAACAAGTGATTCGTATGTCATTAGTGGCTACCTTACTTGGTAGCATGGATCCAGACACGAGTTCTTAGCTCCAAATTCAAGTTTCTCACTGGGAACGGCCTCATTGCCATGGCTAATCCACATGCCCCTCCCTAATGTACAAGCCTAAAGCATCATGGCTCTGATTCTGTTCCCACACAGAAAACACCGCACGCATGGTACCGAGGGATTTGTTGCTCTGCTCCACACCTAGATTGGATAGCTCAAGGCAAACAGCTCACTCAGCGAGTGGTTGATACACGAAGGCAGGCTGTGCTGGTGCGGGCTTAACAAGAGGCTCGGAGAGAAAAGCCCTGATTAGCGTTCTTTTCCCATTCTGTGCTGTAGACTCTGCATGCTAAAGGAACGAGAAGATGAGCCCCAGCCTTCAAGAAAACCTTTGCCAAAGACAAATCTTAGGCGAGTGAGGAACAAGAAAAGGCAGTTAATAAACTTATAATTTTATATAAAATGTCTTATATAAATTTCAGTATTATTTTTATATATACTATGAAGGCTAAAGGGGGAACTATGTGTGGGGAGGCAGGATGACCAGCAAGAGGGGCAGAGAGGGAAAAGGGGAGGGGTGTG